ACCGAGCCGCTCGACTCTGATCAGCTGGCCTTCCGTACCCTCGCCCTCTATCCTGGACACCGTCGCGTGGATTGGATAGTAACGATTGCCATCGTGTTTGGGTGGCTCCTTTGCTTCTCGTGGGCTTTCGCCGTCCCATTTTACGTCTCAGGTCAACGAATGGCAGCCGTATCTTCTCGCTGTCAACTCCACCAAAAGTCAGACGATACCGTCTTGCGAGGCTTTATGGCCTCGCTGCTGGCTTTCGATGCCATCATCCTTCTGCTCACCTTGTACAAGGTTTACAGAAGTGGTAGCTACCGATTCTTCAACTCCAACACGGTCCTTGGCACCATTCTTGGCAAGAAGAACAGGAACCTGCACGATGAGGACCCCATGAAGCTCGCTGCCACCAAGGTCGCCGCAGACCTCATTGGGCAAGGCTTGTACGACTTTATCATCCTCTTCTTGGTTGGTGTTGCTGCCCTAGTCATCTGGTGCACCACGTCTCTGCCTCGAATCTACAGGTCGCTTGGTGTCATTGGCCTCGCAGCGGTCTCTGCCGCCCTCGCCGGTGGTGTCTTTCGGGAGACAGCACGTGCAGCAACAGCCTTGCATGCGTTCAGGGACTTTGAGCTCAAGTTGCAGGCCATGCAACAATTGGCAGAGACGCAACACAAGGAGCTGGAAGCGCTATTCTATGCTCGTCGTTACCGTGATGACGACGAGGACTATGATGCGCAATCCAAATTCACCGGCGATCACTCGAACGCCTACCATCGGGAAGCAACTACACCAGTTCCATTGTCCGCTCACGAGAGTGACAGAATCACCGTCAGCCGACAACCTTCTTACACTGGCGAGTTTCGGACTCCCACAGAAAAGGGCTGGACGGGCCCGCACACAGACGATGGCTACACCAGCGAGCCTCTGTCACGCAATATGGTGCATGAAGCCCAGCCTCTCAGCCCTACCGCCCCTCGTCCTCAAGAGGAGGTATCGCCCATTGAAGAGCTCGAGTACTCTCGCAGAGACTCGACCGATCTGCACTCCGCAGCGCATCTCAATGCGCGCACCGCAGACCAGGACGATTCGGACTCTGAGGCCACCTTTGGCAAGGGACTAGAGACTCGCAGCGATTCCGACTTCCGTCGCTATATGAGACAGAATGCTCCACCCTCTACACACCAGACGCGCAGTTTGAGAAGAGCCAAGAGAGGCCGCACAGTTTATGGTGCCGACGAGCGCTTCCCAGACTTTGCAACCAGCCTGGCCAGATCTACGGCCATTGCCGCCGCGACCAACTCGCGCACGCAGCAGTTGGGCTTCAGCGCGGCCGCGGACGGGTCCAGGTCAGGCTCCGCTTCGGGCTCTGCTTACAATGCTGGCGCATCGGCCAGCAGCAGTAGGAACAATTTACCTCTTGGCATGTCCCTGGCTGCTTTTGATGCTCCTTCAGAGGAAGGGTCAGAGGGGACGCACACGTCCTTTCCCCTTCCTCCAGAGCGCAGAGATACTCTTGCCGGAGTGACCATACTTGGAGGAGGCGTAGAGACGAACTGGTCCAGACCCACAACTCTGTACTCTGCTCAAAACTCTCTTCCTACCGCTCATGGAGGCGCCGCTGGTCTACCGCATCCTCCGCCCACATACTCTTCTAGAACCGCTCTCAATATGCCCGGCAATGAAGCGTACGAGATGGGCAGCAGAGACGCAGCGGGCCTAAGCTCCTCTTTGCCGCCTCCTCGAAGACCTAGCAGGAAACCCGTTGGCAATCGCGAATACGGCGCTTAGCGCCAATTCTGCCTCGATTTTTACCTCGCTATGCTTGCTGTACAATGCGATGCAAGCCCCACCTTTATACCTAACACTCTCCTCCACTCTCAATCTCGCTCCGTCTTTGCTATACTCTGCGAATTGCATACCTTCTTTTGCGCATCTTGCATAAGCGATGTTGACGACGTGAGGCGCCCTCGTTCATGTTGGCGCGAGCAGCGCAACCTAT